GAAAAGGTTTTATCTGTTTGATGTGACATGCAATTTATTTTCTAAAAATGATTCGTTCGTATTTATTATAAATTTCGACAATATTCACTTTTTTAAGCGATAAAACAGTTTATGGTCAATAAACGAAAATGTACGTCGTTTAAATTCGTTTTTGGCCAAGTGTTGATACAGAACATTTGACTATAGTTAATGATCCCAGACGTAATCTTTTTTCAAGGCTTGTCATATCATATCATCTTTGCACAAAAGTCATATTTTTTCAAAGAAATTCATCGAATTGTCATCTTTTTGAAGATGCGATGGAAAAATAACTACATTTTTCTGAAAATTACTTGAATTGAGTAAGTCCAATTCATGGCTTTTAGATAAGGTTTTAATATAATTATGTGAAAATTATAGTTTCCATCATAAACATTCATACAATTTGAAGTTGCTTTTATTGCCATATTTTCTTGCTACTTTATTTTGTCCTTTTTCATGAATTTTAGAGAAATTTCATCCATCAGAATGTCGAAAAATATTAGAAACAATAGCTGTTCTTTCTACTATATCAACGAAATACATATAGTTGAAATTACACTATTGACGGTTGAATGTGCTCGAATAACACCTGTTGTTCAGAACAAATGTTCTCAGTTTTGAACAGCACCACAATTATCGTGCCTGTTCATTTCAAAATCAGAATTGATTGTATTGTGCAATTTGTATTGTAATAATTCGCTGAAAACTAATGCACATGCATCATGCAATTACTATTCCCATTCTAAAACTGAGAAAATATTAACGTTTCCTAGGAAACAAATGAAAAAGATGACAATCATCTTTTTGAAAAATTTGTCATCTTTTTTGCTCCTCTCCAGGATGAAAATCATCATTTTTCGCAGATTTGATATGGGAACATTAACTATAGTCAACAAAACGTGTAACTAGAAACTACATCATGAACTGGCAGCCCTTGAATCGAGTGGTGTGAATGGAAAAATTTAATCGAATAGTGAAAATAAAAAAAGGCGAAATAAATTAATCATCGTGTCCTTCGTAGTGGACACCGAGTTGTCGTCGGAGTTCATCTTGAACGCGAGCAATTCCCAAACTATCGGTGTGTGGTGCATTTTCGTGTTCCTTTTTACCGGCACGAATGGCTTTGCGGATCTCGTCGGCTTCGTATCTCAAGCCACAGCTGTTCGGGTAGTAGAAATCATATTTAGCTGGTGGTAATGGCCAATGCTTTTCTTTTCCATCAATATCGATAATTCTGGTTGAGCAAAAGATTTCGTTTATCTGCGAAATGAAATTATGAAAATGTCATTAGGAAAGAAAAAAAAAACCAAAATAAATGAAAAAAATAGTTGAACATTAAAAAATGTTCTTTAAAAATGGATATGCACCGTAATTTTGCCTTTAGTTCCAACGATTTTTACCGCGTTGCTGAGCTGATTCAGTGCACTCGTTTTGATCTGCACCTTTTTACCGTCACCGTAATCAAGATCGGCTGACATTTCGAGATCAACACCTTCTTCATTTAGGATACCTTTGGCTTTGATTGAGATTGGCTCCTTTTCCAACACCCATTGACAGGCTTGAATTGTGTAAACTCCCATATCCAAAATGGTTCCACCGCCCATCGCTTTTTTTCTACACGAGAACAAAAGAGTTTTATTAGAAAAAATAAACAGTCACTATTTATTGATCAATAAACAAAGCCGTATCACTTCAACTATTTATTAGCACATTTTGTTTGTATGGTATTAGTGTAGAACGTTTTTAACTGATATAAAATTATGAATGTTTTTCAAATTCCAATGAAAATCCAAATTTTTACTTACGAAAGCCGAGCGACTTCCTTCAAGTCCTTGATTCCGAATTCAGCTTCAACGGACAAAATGTCACCAAGCACACCACTGCGGATTTCTTTGCGAACGTGTTGATAGGCTGGGAAGAATCGACACCAAAGTCCTTCCATAAAGAAAACGCCCTTCGCCTTGGCAAGTGCAATCAATTTTTCCGATTGCTTAAAGTTCATGCACAATGGTTTTTCGCACAAAACATGCTTGCCATGTTCCAGCATTAATACGGACACTTCGTAATGCCATGGATTCAATGTGCCAACGTATGCGATTTCAACATTTGGATCCTGTGCCAATTCCAAATATGAGCTATACGCTTTTGAAACACCGAATTTTTCCGCAAATTTTTCAGCACGAGCCAAATCACGAGCAGCAACCGCAACTAATTTGTGATCAACTGCGTTGAGTGTATTCACGGCATTGGCAAAATCTTGTGAAATTAAACCGACCGACACAATTCCCCACTTTAACGCCATTTCTCTTCTGATTTGTTGTGCGAACCACTGCGTATACCAATCACTTCTGACCGAACTAAATTAATGAACGACTTTTTATAGTAAACAGCGTAGCGTCCAAGAAAAAAACTAAATCATCAATTGCGTTCCATTCTAGTAAACTTACCCAGACAAATCGTCGACTCGCTTCACACGTTGTGTAACACATATATCGTTCGTGTGCCGTATCAAGAAAGCAATGGCTATTCGAGAAAATTCACTATACAAACGAAGCATATCAAATATCGTGTGAAATGTGTGGCCGATGGGCTTGGGCACAATGGCTGAACAAATACTATTCGATGTTAGCCAATGCTCAACATTGTTCATTAAAAACAAAATTGAATGAAAAAAAATTTCACGTTTTTAAACGCCGGCCGTCTAGAATGTTCACAATGCGAATTGAATTGACAATAATAACAAACAAGTTGTGTTGTTGTTTACACAGATGAATCAAGGTCCGGTAGGAAAAAACCATTCATAACGCCGTCGCGCGTATTTTTTTTGTTCCTTTATTCGTATGTTTACACATACACTGGCCTTGATCAAACTGACCGAAACCAGCTGACCAAAAACTCTAATCAGACTGATTCGGGTCGATATCAAATAACGACAATAAATTCCAAAACAAAACCAGTCAATTAAGCGAATGTGTCTCTGGAAGTGTCTGATTTCAACTATGTGTCATAGAAAAACGGAGGCATGAAAAAAAAAACTTCAATGACAAAATCACAGTTTGACAACAAAAACAACCAATACATTGATTCTTATGGAGACTGAATGTACAGAATGTGACAAGAGCGAAACTAGTGAAAATATTCATGAACTAACAAGTAATTACAAAGTTTCTATCTTAATTGCATTGAAAAACACATGAAAAACACCTGAAAGTAGGCAAAATTTCAAGTTTCAATAACTTAAACATGAATAAACATGTAAAGCACATACACATTTCTGTGACGTACAAAGTCCCTTGCTGTTGAATCGTGGACAAAATTTACCAACGACCTCGAATTTTGGTTTGAACAAAGGTGAGTTTGCCGGTGATTTGGTTTAGAATATCTTATTCTAACGTTCGAATGAACAATCCGTATCATATTTGGTAGATAACAGGTTGCTAATTGGAAGATCTAATGTGACGAATCTAAACAATTCGTATCCACAAAGTAGAAAACAGATGCAAAGCCAATAGAAATAACGAAATGACCTGAGAACGAAATGAAATGGATTTGCATTGAACATTGGAATGAAAGAAAATTGATATGTAAACCGTTTTTTCTACTGTGTAATTGGTGTCATTTTGACATTCCAATTGATTTTACTCAACAGTCCGCTCAATACAAACCGCAAAAAAGAATTTACTGAATAACGAATATTGAATAAGCATCAACCAAAAATTTGGATGATACCAAGTTGTGAAAATCAATGATTCATTTACGATAAATTGAAATAAATTGGATAGAAATATCGGTGAATCGTGGCTATGCCATGTGCTTTGGTTAAATGCGCCAATTATATTTCTATTATAGTGAAAAATCAACAAAAAATTGAATCCTACGATACCAAAAATGACATCTATTTTTCAAGACCTTTCTAGTGATATATTTAACTTTTCAATCCAACCGTTAAAATACTCATTTTATGCCTCTTTTTCTCAATGGCCGAAAATGGCCATAGGCCGGCCAAATATTGTCTTTAAAATATTTCATTCGGTCAGAATTTCGATAGGCTTTCGGATTAGAACCCTTATTTGGGTTGAATAAGACAAAAAGACATAGAAATGATGCATTTTATTGTCGTACCCAAACTTTTAATCGGCACTGTATACAAACCGGTTGAGAGTTTGTATCGTCCAAAAATTTCAAGAAACCAAAAAACGATTTGAAGAAACCAAACCCAAAGCAAAGTCCTGGTGAAATGTCTGTTGATTTCGAAGATAATGAGAGGTTCCCCTTTTCACTGTGTATTCATTTATTAATAAAATTGTGCTTTTTTTTTGTAATTTCACTTGAATTTGAGCGTTTTTTCAATATACTGAAATTTATAGGGGGAGTATGTGTAAGTTGACCCACCCCGCCGATTTTCTATTTAGACCGACAAATCGTCAATTTGGCTAGTCTCAATCGATTTAGAAACGTCAAAAACCAATATAAAAGTAGTTCCCAAGAGTAAATACGCTTCTTAAACGGCTCGGATCGGCTCATAAAAATTGTTTGCAAAAAAAAAAATCATTTTTATAAAAACTAAATTTTTTCGGACCATCATCAAGTAGACAATTTCAAAGATATCAGCAAAGCAAGTATAAGCTTTCTTCACTAGTTTTTCATGTATTTTCATAATCCTAAGTCATTTCACACATATCGTTACATGGCGAAATTCTTTCCGTGCATATTGAAATGTCGACCAATTTTGTAAGTTGACCCACCCGGAAAAAAATCAGAAAAATGAGACAACTATTCAGCGTAAACACTCAATATACGAGATTCATTGAATTTTAATGAATTTCCAATCGTTTTTGGACACGAAAAAATCGATGAAATATGAAATAATGGAGGATATGTATTTTTTTACAATTTCTATATTTTTCTACATTTTTTCATTGTTTTTCGTAGTTGTAAAGACCAAAAACGATTGAAAATCCAACGAAATTTAATGAATTTCATTTATTGAGTGTTTAAACTGCATGTTTTTCTAAAAAAAATAGGGTGGGTCAACTAACAAAGAAAAAATTTTGTTGCCAAAAATCAGACCTCTTAGAAAATTGACCGAAATATTTTGTTTTTACAACCAAAGCTAAAGAATTTCCCAATCAAATTGTAGCTTTTCCGGTTCTCTTTCCAATGGTATATCAAGTGTGCATTTATCTTTATTCCATAAAAAGTTATGACTAAAATGATTAGTGCGGGTCAACCTACACATAATTCCCCTACTGAATTTTTGAACAGCATACTGATTTTTACGACAAAGATGGTAACGTACTACTGATTTTTTACCAAAATGAGTTGGTAGCTTTAACTTAGGGTTAAAGGTTATTGTGGGGTGATAGTGTGTGATGACATGAAAGAGATTTTTTTAAAGGGTGACTATGCCAATAAAGAGATGCCTCCCATACAAATGTGGCCATTTTTATCAATTTTATTTTTAAAAAAACGAGACATTTGTATGGATGGTACTCTTATATCAAGTTCGATTGGCTTCAAAGAATTTCAAACCTTTTCGTCCTTTTTGACAGATGTACTAAATTGAATGTTTTCTGTGTCGCCTTCTGGTTGGTGATACTAATAACTTCTCGAACGGTTCTAATGAAGATTTTATTTATTGTTTATCCAATTTCATACAAAATCACTTTTAAATTCATAAACCCAATTTAGAAAAGAAAATCACAGTTATTTCGACTTTTTGCATGCAAAATGCCTAAAACATAAGAGTGAAAAAATTGTCATCATCAAATTTAAAACCAACATTGTATAGCGCCTGTACTTTGCTTATGGGTGACGTTTAGAAAAGATACGCATCCAATATCAGTGTCGCCTCTAGACGTTTTTTTTTTCCAGAACCACAGTGGCAACGGCTTATGTCAACTTCTCTGTTGTTTTGGATGTTATCAGTAAGTCCATAAATGCGATAAATGCATCGCCATCAAAATCTCCAGGCACAATGCTCGTAATGCTTAATTCTTTGACCACACATTTCGTCTTTGGTAAACAACGCAAAAATGTTTCTTCTTCTGAGGGCAATACAATTTCCACCGACCATCAATCGATGGAAAAAAAAACATCTGTCAAATCGTCTGAATTGAGGTCACCAAAGGCCAACACAATTGTATCATTTATCGCATCAAATGAATTTGTCAATACTAAAACTAGAGAAATTATTTGCTTCAAATTCGGATTCACGTTATCAGTTTATTTACACTTTTTTTCGATGTATACAATCTGTAATGCAACAGTTTTTCTGCGTCTTCTTTTTTAAATTTGTTTACATGTCAATAAAAACAAAGCATTTCAATAAAATCCACTGAATTCGATTTTTATTACGATTAGTAAGACATTTCCATTTGATTTTTCAATGGAATAGAACAGAAACTTAGAAAATTTTTGTCCGTTAAAATTTTATTCAATTCATGCGATTCAAGATACAACGTGAAAATGAAGTGTCAAAACAATGGTTGCCACCATTGTTGTATTCAACATGACGGCCGACATTGTTGAACTTTGCCGCGTAGACCGTATAGAGTCGCCACTTATCACATAGTATGACAATTTAACATTTCAAAGTACATTGCTATATCGTGTTGTTTAAAACACGGCATGACCAATTTTAAGTGTTGCAACTTTGTTTTGAGAAAGCCGAATATTATTTGGAAAGGAACACTAGGACAAAACAATAAATGGCAAATCATTCTTTTGTTACTTTGTGGACATAAATTCCCACATTTTCGATAGAAAGTGAATTTTGGCCATACAACTCATAATTGTAATACACAATCACGTGTTTAGAACATTTCATTGCTCAATACCGACACTGAACGCACCCTTTTAACGCTAGGGGCATATGACAAAAAATTCAGTCGAATGAATATCTAAATCAGTGCTGTCCAACGTGGTGGCCACCGAGACAATTTCAAATGGCCACGAGAAGATTTGATTTCTATGATATATTATATTGAATTTTCAATGATTTAACATGAATTTGATAAACTGGACGAGGAGCAATAAAAATAAATTCGCTACTGTAAAATTCTCAATAACGCTCTATTTAACATAAACATTTGATAAAAATGGTGCTGTTTTTTCGTTTGTAAAGGGTGTCCCAATAGGGACGCAAAAAGTTTTTCTATAGGGATTTCATGATGGATGCCCCGATCTGTCAAACTGGAATGTCAGTTTGAAGCGTCCATCTATACCATTTATAACCATGTCAAGATTAAGTAAAGATCAACGCGTTCAAGTCGTTAAATCCCATTACGAAAATGAGTCTATTTTGCAAAATACGTTTCGTGCAATTTGTGAATTTTTCGGCCGAAATAATCGACCAAATGTGTCCACCATCAGTCGCCTGGTGCAGAAATTTGAGCGTACTGGCTCTGTGTTAGACGATCAACGATCAACCCGTATGCGAACGGCCCGCTCGCACGAAAATATTGCTGCTGTGAGTGAAAGTGTGGAGGACGAGCCAAGAACCTCGGTTCGTCGACGTTCTCAACAAGTTGGCCTCTCTAGGATGACCACATGGCGTATTCTCACCAAAGACTTGGGTCTACACGCTTATAAGATTGTCCTCACTCAAGAACTTGAACCGATGGACCACGGAAAACGAAGAGATTTCGTCGAATGGGTCAAAGGAAAAGAGGCCGCGGATGCCGATTTTTTGAAGAAAGTGATCTTTTCGGATGAGGCTCATTTTCACTTGAATGGGTATGTGAATCGCCAAAATTGTCGATTCTGGGGAAGCGAAAATCCAAGAGAAACTGAAGAAGTGTCAGCTCATCCAGCTCGTTGCACTGTTTGGTGCGGTTTATGGGCCGGCGGCATCATCGGGCCGTATTTCTTCGAAAATGATGATGGTCGAGCCGTTTCCATCAATGGCGAGCGATATCGTGAGATGTTGCAGTATTTTTTTTGGTCGGAAATTGAAGGCATGGACTTATCCGACATGTGGTTTCAACAAGACGGCGCCAGACCACACACA